CTAATATTAATGTGTGATGGGTGCGTGTGACTACTTAGGCGTCCTCAGATAATGCAGAATTCTGGAAATGAAAACTTTCCACAGCAACATACTGGTTTGGGGGAAAGCGGTATTTGATAGAAGTTTCTAGGATGGAATTTCTCCTCAAAACCAAAGAAAAGAGGCAGAGCTCAGTACCTGTATGACACTTACATGGCATGTAAGCGGGGCAGGGCAAAGCCTTATGTCTGGATCATCCCGTATTTCAAGTGGTTGCCTCAGCCCCCAGGCTCTTGGCTATCCTTCACTCCCTGCTTTGTGCTCTGTCCTCTCCCGTCACCTCTCCATCTCTTCAGAAGCATTAACTTCATTTTGCTGCAGACCAGGTGTTTTGTCAAAATCTCAGAAAGTTTCATGGCAGAGGAAAAAGGTTTCCCAGATAAATCTAGTAACAAGAATAACTAAGCCAGCTTGCTCTTTGGTGCACRTTGCTGGTATTCCTGAAGTAGATGATGCAGGACAAGGAGAAGGGAACCATAATCTGTGTCGTTACTGTAGATCCCTTCTGCAGGAAGGGYTGAAAGTGGAGAATCTGCTTGTGAAACCCCACATAAACAGGGAAAACAGGCAGGGTGGGAGTCCAGCATTGCAGAGCAGGGCCTGGCTGAGACAAAAAGAGAAACATCCTCACCTTGGCCACGTCCATCTTCCTGCTTGGAACTTTTATTTTTATTCTTTCCTTACGATGTGAGCGGTGTGAGGGAATGGTCCAGGGGTTATTTTGAATGGGAGCTGTTGCTGTGCTGCCTAAAATGAGCTGCCCAGGAATAGCCCGCGCCCCAAAATATAAGTGGTCTTTGAGTCCCAAGTCTTATAAAAGCTCGGTTGCCGGTGGAACACATGCCAGATGGAAAGTGCCCCTCTGATTTCCTCCAAACATGCACGCAGCTGTTACTGCTTCCCCTTTTTTTTCCTAATGAAATTTTTAGACCTCACCTGTTGACACATGCATTATAGTTTCTTTTTCCCCCTCCCTCCCTTGTTCTCCGAAAGGAAAATGACTTGAGATGTTTTGGAGAAATGGCACRGGGCAGAAGCTGTGAAAATACCTTTGATATATTTTTAAGGGTGGGAAATTTCAGATCCTGGCGAGCCTTTGTGCCCACAATACAGTGCCTGGCTGCAACGGGGCTTTGTTTAGAGCTCATTTTATTTTGTGAGACAGAAGCTGGAAACTGCCCAGGTCTTTGGGGGAATACCAAGCATTTAGCTTGGACAGAAATAGAGCCGCAGCTCAGGACACATTGAAACATATGCAAGACAACGTGATGACCCAGGTCCAAGTTACTAACAGTAAATACATATGGACAGAATTGGGGGCTAGGAGGGAGGTACTTAAGCTCTGAAGTCATCACATCTACACACTGTGCATCAAGGAGAGTTCACGGTGTGATCTGCGCCTTGGAAACCCCAAGTGGCACCTTCCCAAGGGGGTGCAAGTACCTGAGTGTTTTCAGTACCTGGCAGGTCTGGGAAAAAGGAGAGAAAGAATAAGGAAAAAAAAAATCTCCTCACCTTGTGTCAACCAAAGCCAGTTTGGTTTCAGTTTCCAGCAAAATAGAAGGACCAAAGATTGTTTAATCTGGAGCAGAAAGAGATCMTTTGACCCAAGATGAAAAAATCTCGTGCTGCTTTGTTTAGGCTGCAATATTTCTTTCGGAGTGATTCAGTCCTAATAATATTGAAAGAAAACCTGAAACTTTTTTGGAAATGAAAAATTGTCTAGAGTGGAGATAAAATTTGAAACACATTTTCTTTGTTTTACCTAACAGTTTTTTCACTTTGAAGTTTGATCTTTCTTTACAAAATTCGAGTCTTTTCCTACCAGTGTCTCTAATAAGCTACAGAGCCCATCAGGAGATCTCAGGTTTAAATTCTCATTATCGCCTGTATATTTTTATATTRCTAAATTGACAGAAGTTGTCATCCTGAAACCACAGGATGGCAACATGCGACATCCACAATGCTCTGGTGAAAAGGAAAGCTAAAGATGATTTACCGAAAATGCACCAGATTGACCAGAACGGACTCACTGTGCTGAAATCAATTCACCAGTAAGATGTGTTTTCCACGCTGTTTCTCCTCCTTTCCCATTGCTGGGCATTTCTTTGTTAGTGTTAAACACCCTTCAGAGCTTGACCTGTGACGTGGCCGCCCCGTTGTCCCCTGCTTTCTGTGGCCCCCGCTGCTGCAAAGCTGGCTAGAAAGCTGCAAGGGGGAGCCCAGCTCCATGTCCTCCTGCCCCATGTTATTCCCAACCTGACTTTGTTGGTGCGCGGTGGATAAAAAAAGCCCCGTCCTTATTTTCTCACGTTGGAGGAGGGGTGGTTGTTTCAATTTTTAGTCGGCTTCCTGTATTTACGTTTTCATCCTCTTGTGGTGGTGTACGGAGCTCACGTGTTTACGGCTTTTAACAGCTGCAAACAGGCAGGAAAGGCCTTATCCATGCTTCCCGCGCGTGGGAACGGGCGGCGGGCCTGGCGAGGGGCGAGTGCGCAGAGCACGGAGCACGTTCGGAGGCTTCCTGCTCCCTCCCTGCCCTCCGCAAGCTGCGAAAAAGCCAGCACAGACATAGGGTGCAGCAGCTTCTGGCAAGGGATTGAGATCCTTGCAGGAAAAGTCTGGCACCAATACCTGAGATAGGGAGAAACATCTCTTGTGTGATGCCATCCTGCCTGTGGCATCTGGTATCTGCCTGATAACAGCCTGGTGCTTCTGAGCTCTGAACTGTTCTGCTACAGTGACTTCAAAAGTGCTATACCAAACACATCCCAAATACCCTATTGCTGTACCTGGCCCACAGCAGAACCTACGTAGCACGTGCTCCTTCATTCAAAGGCTCTTTTAGATGCACTTCTCACATSCTTCTCTGAAAACAAAGCTGTCAACGTGCATGTCAGACCAGCRGACCCCTGCGTGCGGCCCTCGCTTCTTGTGACCTGCACAAACYGAGAAAAACGTTCAGTGCCCAGCGGCACTTTCCAGCAGGTATCGGGACAGGTAAGACGAGCACCCAGGCAGGCCCCGTGTAGCACTGGGCTCCAGCTCTTCTCACCTGGGGTTTACTCCTCGGTAGGACTGAGGTAGCATTCTCATTCTGCAGCAGTTTTATAGCTGGGCCAAAAAAATATATATTTGTATATAATTTCTTGTGCTTCTCCAACTGAGCAGAAGTTTTGCCAGTCRAGGTTATTTGAAACAGGACAAAAAGCAATGGTGAATCCTATTATAAAAAGAGAGGAGAGGAAAAATAAAAAAGAGTAGTTTGTGTTGTCTCTGCCTTTGGCTCTTTGGCTGGTATTGATTGCCTGGCTCCCTTCTTTCTTTTAGCATTTTCCTGTTAAAAACATTGCTTTTGTGATGGAAGCAAACTGCTTTAGCATTTTTTGAAATAGGAGAGCAAACATGGCATGAGCTTTACAAAACAAACCAACCCCCAAATTCCTCAAGTCTGCCTTAGATTTGCATAGCTGTAGTTTTAAAGGATGGCAGCACAGCTAAAGGGATAACTTATTCCCCTTCATTTGCAGGGGTATAAAAGTGCTTTAGCAGCACAGCTTATTCCAGCGTGCCAAATAAGAGCTATTGCTCTGACTCAACTTACAGGAGGGTTTTCAGTAGCTTTCCAAGGAAGAAGCCAGATACATGTGGCTGTAATGCCCCTCAGAGCCTGTGACAGTCCCATCCACATTATTTTTTTTGCCATTTGCCTGTGTTTACAAAAGAGTGTAAATAACCCGCAGGAGGAGTGTTGAAGGGCCCGGCTCTGGAAGACATGAGAGATGAGTGTCATCAAACAAAACCAGGAAAGAGGGAGAGGAAGGGCAGTGTTACGAAGGACAGGAAGGTGGATATTAAAAACAAGGGAAGAATAAGAAGGATAGACACATCGGACTGAAATAGCACACGTGAGAAAACTCTCCCAGCAGCTCCAGTCTGTCTTAAAATGAAGAATGGGGGCGGGAGGGAAGGGGAGTGGAGAACTGTTAAGAGACCCTTAGTTTAATCCCAATCCAGAACCAGCTATAAAGGAAGGAAATAGGAACCTTTCACTATAAAAATCTGGAAGTCTGAGTTCGTTAGCGGCAGAACTGACACAGAAGAGAGGCAGAGAGAAAATTGTTGTAAGACACCGAGGTTTATCCCGTGCGCTTGCAGATACTCTGTGCTCTGAAGTCCCTGTGCCTGGGAGGCTTTTCTTTTACTGCTGACACAAATTTWAAAACTACAAAAAATGCCCATTAGTTTAGCTCTTGTTTTGGCTGTATTTTTTTTTAAATTACTTTGTTAAAAATAAGGAGAGGGAAGGGATTCAGGTGGCGAAAAGAACAAGCCAAATACTTGGCATGTTGTTTCCTATTGGAATCACATAATTAAACTATCTCCTTATTACTAAAACATCGCAAGGCTGGATCCTGTGTGTTTTCAACAACTGTACTTTGCAAAGAATGAAATAAATTGCAGGGTGATTTTATGATTTGATTTTGCAGGGTGAAATTAGAATGTGAAGTGCAGCCCAGTRTGAGAGAGAGGTTCCCATTTTTTTGGAGCAGAAGACAAAACTTTTCACTGGCTCTATGGAAATTCTCTGAAGAGAATAAACTTACCTATTTAAAGCTTTCCGTTTGAGATCTAGGCTTGGATTCATGTTAATGTTTATCAGAGCTGTGACATTCACATTTCCCCCTTTTTAATAGCTTTGATTACTATTTTTTTTTTATCRTTTGCTCATAAATCCACCGATCTGGGACCATTATACATTGTACTTTGGCTCAAAACCATAGAAAACAATGGCTTAAATCCCATACATGCTTTGGCATCCACTCAATATCCAGTACATTCATTTATGCTAAATTTACTTCTGTTTTCAATATTTCCAGTGTGCCCTAACCCTTTTGACCTACAGTCTGCTGTAAATCCCTTTTACTACTCACTGACACGTGACTTTATAAATTATGAACGGGGCACTGAGATGATCCTATGACTAAACCCAGTATTTAGACTACAATTGAAAGGTCATAATTCTGGGCAAGTGTAAAGGCACAGCCTGTAACAACAGTTAGCACACGATCCAATCTTTGACCTTAAAAGCAAAAGGAAACCAAGGTTCCTGCCTCACCGCTACCATGCAGGCATCTTTTTATTCCAAGTAGTGYCTTCAGTGGATAGATGAAGCAATTTGAATTATTCATTCCTCGTAGCCTGCATCTTGGAAAACTCTGGCGCTGGCAAACGCTGTGATGTTCTGCCTTTSAGAGGAATCCGAGGGTGTATGGATCCTGCTGCTCCCTGAGTCCTTTCCTGGAGCTGAGAGCCTGCACGCATTTTCATACTATATTTTGCTTGCTGGAAAGCTCAGATATTTTGCTAGAACTGGAGTAAAACTGTGAATCTAAGGGACGGTGTCCAGTAGTCAAGAACTCGCTGTGATTTGACGTCCCCTTTCAAACAAAGTAGTCCAAAGTGTTTCAGAGATTTGAGGAAAAATTGGTGATTTCAGGTTTCCATTGATACCAATGGGAAGATCCTCATTAGCTGCCTGGTATCAGCTTAGCTCCCATCCAGACCAACTCCACAGCTGATCCTCCCATCCCTCAGTGACTGGGATTTGCTAGTAGTTGTCTTGAGTTTGAGGTTTGTAATCATTCAGCGATACAAAATCTCTTCTGTCTCATATGTGAAAACCCATTGCAGAATAAACTCATCTGGGAGCAAAAAAAAAAGGGAGTGTAATTCACAGAGAAAAAATATTTACCTTGCTCTTCCTGCCAGCCACTTAGCAAGRCTGCTAGTTACCGCCTGCCCTGCTGAGTACCCAATAAAATTTTTGCTTGGCTTTTCTTGCCCACAGTTTTGGAAACACTTCCAGCCACTTTTCAGGGCAAGCAGATCACAAAATTGTAGGTAAATAAAAAGGGAACCAAATCTGGTTGGGGAAAAAAAAAAAAAGCTTTAAAAACAAAACAAAAATACAACCCTCCAAAAATCCAGAGCTTTTTACTTGGCAACCTTTGAGATACCAGACTACTGCTCATAATATTGCATAACATGAGAGAACATTACTCCCTATGAAGTGATGTAATGTGACATCTGGTATTTGGAAACTCCAGCTATACACTAGCTATATGTTGTCTTGACTTGCTGCAGTACTTGCAAGATACTCCGAGTGTGGAGCACAGACGTACGAGCACAGGCAGGGCGCAGCTCTCGGGAGGATTCCCTACCTTCCCACAGGCCTTTCTCTCTTTCTTTCTTTTTCTCACCTGGTTTCCAGTCCTCTTGCACTTGCATCTCTGCAGAAAGTCACAGCAATTTCAGTTAGAAGAGACAACCAGGAGCACATGAGRAGGTCTCTGCTCTTGCACCTGCCAGAAGGCTGTTCCTTGCCTGCAAATGAAATACTGTGTGGAGACATAATCCAAATATTCTTYATCCACATTCTCAGTTTTGTGGATGGACAGGTTAATTTAAGGACAATTTTTGACAAATACTTTACATGATCTCCCTCACAGGACACTGCCTGCTGTAAAACCATTCCTGATGGCTCAGCCTAGCAGGTACAAGGACCATGCTTGCATGCCGCTAATAATTTGTTTTAAATTTAAGTATAACTTAATAGCTGCCTTCAAATCTACTTTTACCTACCCTTACTTCTGCAAATGTGCAAGCTTAGCCTGCAGTCCACTGGCTATGTATGACAGACGTGTCATGGATACGTCCTTGAGCAATTGGACTTAGAAGAAAGAAATAATAGAAATGCAGGTGGGACTTTCCAAAGCGCTCACGCTAAGCTAAGTRTTCCCACTCAGGACAGTAATGGAACCAGCTCTGGCACTTAGCAGCCCAGCTTGGCAGAAATGGGAGAGCTGTGTTGCTGCAGATCCCTTTCCCCTGCCTCCGTCTGCACCGTCCCTCCTGCTCTTCCTCTGCTTCCCCTGTGAAACGCAATCTGGGGATCTCCTATTTTTATTCTGGGTTTGGATCGCTCAGAGCTTCCAGAGGGCTCTACTTCTCAGGCTGCATTACAAATACCTTCCATGCTCTCTCCTCACCTTCTCCCCTTCCACCTAAATCATTTTTATCATCCCACTCCTGCTAGGAGAGGGGAGATCCTGTTTCTGCTTTGCCCTCAAGTGAGTGTGGTGGGTCCAGCTCTCCTGGGTCTTGCAGGAGCCGTGGGAGCTGCTCAAGGGCCAGCGCTGTGACGGCTGTTAGTGCTGCGAGGCTGTTTCTTTAGAGGCAACAGAGGCAAGTCTAAAATCTAAAGGGAATAGGACCCAAATGTGGATTGAAAAAGTTGCTTCTAAAGTTGTTTCCTTGCTTCTTCCTATGCAGCCTRCTCCCTGCTGCTGTATCCAGAAATTTGGAGACCATTGCACTAATATCTTTTCATTTAATGTAATTATTTCTGGATTTGTGGTTTTTTTCCTAATATTTCTCTATTTGTTTCCTCCCTGCCTTTTTTTTTGATCATGCCCAGAAAGATAAGATCTAATATCGCAAGAAGGCCGTGTCCATTCACACACACTCTTTAGCACACCCATAACAGGAGCTCAGTGCAGGTTATACATACCTCTCCTTTCTTTCTCTGACCTGTGTTACCTGAAAATAAAAAGTATCATCGCCCTTGTATCTGGGTTAAGTGACATGTCAACAAATCAGTTCCTTTCCCTCATCAGCAGATTATGGAGCTGTTAAATATACTCTCCCAGAGATATTAATTAACGGGAAAGACTTGTGTTTTCATTAGTTATAAATAGCCTAAGTGGGTGGTAAGCAACTGCCTCTTCCTTGCCACATAACTTTTCGGTGTGAACTGCAGCACAATCAGTGCATAGAGTCTGATTCGGAGGAAGCCTCACAGCGAAGCCTCGCAATAGCRTAGTTAAAAACAACACAAACAAGAACACGACTCCGAGCTGTAAGAGGCCCAGCAGCTCAGCTGCTTTATTTCCCATGCACAATGGCGGGTTGTTCCCTCTGATATTTCCTTTTGGAAATTACTATCTAATAAACTCCATTAAAAAGGAAAATTTCCAGGCATCAATCTAAGTGTTTGTTTTTCAGCATTATCTGAATATTTGCTGCAGAAGTTAAAAAGTCAAATGGAAAGTTCATAGCATCACAAAGAACAGGGAGATCTAGGATCTAAGCACTGCTTTTCCATGCCTTCGCTCTCCTATTTTTTTTGTCTACTTGTTTATTTTAAATTTTTCAAAATACTTATTTTGATTATAAGCATTCTCTAAACGTGTATCTGTATAGAACCCACCACCTTGGTGCCTTAGGACTATTTTACACTTACACTAACCTGTTTAAGGTAACTTAAACACTTATAAACAATTTTTCTCAGTTTGCACAAGTAGAAAGGACGGTTTCATATTAGGGGAAAAAAACTGTACATTGTAAAACKCCTTGTATAGCAATAGCAGACAAGTGCAGTACTTTTCTCTGTAAAGGTGCAGCTAAGCGGACACGAGATCCTAAATGAGTTGTCGTCTTGGGTCAGGTTGGCTTTGCCTGCCCATCCTGCCACCCAAACTCCAGGTCAATGAAGCGAGTGGTCAAGTCTGTCATCTGCTACAGAAAGTCACTCAGAGGGAAGTGATTGAAGTGGCAGAGCTGCTGTTGGGACCTTTCATACAACGAGACCCTGGGGCTCCCATAATTACTGTTGTCAATCAGCATTTCAGATCCCTGAAGAATAGAGAACTGTTGGTTTCACATGGCCCATGAGCACCGCTGGCTGCCAGCACCAGGGCTGCTTTGTCCCTGTGTCCTGCCTGTGACAAGTGGCAGTCTGCATAGGCTGTGTATTTTAATCCAGGAGCCTTTCCATTCACACTTGCTCTTTTATTTGTCACTGCCTTCTCTCTAGCTGGTAAACCTTGCAGAAAGGTCCCTGCAGCTGAGCAGCGCAGTCCTCAGGGGCTCTAATCCCCTCGGGCTCGACTTTGTACAAACACCTAATMAGAAAAGTTTCTTTTCAAACCTGCTTTTAATACCTAGGGCGCAAGTATTTCTATTTCTGGTGGACTTCGGGTATTATTGTAATAAACTTGCTGATTAAGGACAGTTAATTCTTTCCCACTATCTTGTCCTAAAATTTATATAGCAGCCTATATCTTGCAAAAGAAATGTTATAGATAGATGCATTGATGAAAGAAAATCTTTCTTGACCTGACTGTATTGGCTACATTAAGAGACACAAGTGCATTGGTAACCAGAATGTACTTCCAGGGCTCATGTAAACTGTTTGTTTTAACAGGTCTCTAGTGCTTCTATTGTCTTAAGGACAATTTTCCATTGTTGGGTTAACTATAATTATAACGATAGTATCACAATTAAGTAATGCAATAAAAGGTTTAGGAAAAACATAGCTCAGGTCCTAAATATACACACCAACAGAAATTTGTCACTAAGATACAGAAAAGTGCTAAGATACAGACTTAAATCATGTTGATTTCAACTGGAATTAATTTCAGACTTACAAGTTCGTTCTTTCTGTCCCTTCCTTGCAGGCCAAGGTCTCTACAGAATTCCCTCTTGTTCTCCGTCTCATCTCCAGGCAGCTGTAAAGGAAAAGARTTGAATGCAGCACTCCCTCAGAAGAAAAGGTACTGAATTTCCTTTGATTAATTGGCTAAATACACATACRGTTCAGATTATTTTCTGTCCATCTATTATTGCCATGTGAAAATGAGGACAGAAATTGATATAAAAGGAAAAAAAGAATTACTTTAAGATACTGTTTTGCCCTCTTGATGTGATCACTGTAATTAAAGAATGGGATTTACTAACATGGACTGTTGTGAAGAAAAAAYGATAATTGAAAACTTCATTCTGCTTTCCCATTTCTAATATGAATGAACTGTCTAATACCCTGYATTTTAGGAACATCCTATTGAATATGTATGCACATGCACACRCTTGAGTTTTTATGTATTTGAGTAGTCTTATTGCAGTCATATGCTACCTGCTTCCAAMTCCAGACAAGGTTGTGAGAAGCATTTAATTGCAGGTGAGGCAGGACCCGAATGTCCATCGCCTCCAGGCAACTGCCAAATATCTGAAATGATGCCAGCGAATGTGCGGGGATTGGAGCTGTGAGCAAGATGATTATATGTGGTCAAAATTAGTCGTGGGGGAAGGGATGGCAGGTGAGCGGGGAGGAAAATTGGAAGCCTTAGAACCTAAAATTCTTCTTGAAGTCGCTGTGTGGGGGCAAAGGAGCRTGAACTTTAGCACTTTGCCTGAAGAAAAGCAAGAGAAAAGGTTGTGTGGCCACCCCTTTGAACTGCTAGGTCAGCTCTCAGAAGCGTTTACCTGCTTTGTTGGACTTAATGAGGGTTAGCTGCTTGTCCTAAAGGTGAGACAGAGCTGCGGTCTCTGGAGAGCCAAGCATGGCCGCGGGGAGTGGAGTGCGGTGCTGGGGCTTCCAAGAGAGGCACTTGGAAACAAAGAGGGGAAGCAGAAATGCAGAGCTCTGGCCGCCACTTGGAGTGAGGCTGGGAAGTCCTAGATACCCCTTTCAAACACTGGCCTTTCAAAATAGGCACTGTTTGAGTGCTGGCTTGGCTTACATCTGCGCTTGCTCTGGRCCAAGCTCTCTGATCATTTGATGGTCATGGGCCTGCGGTTTAATTATTGTGACTTTCAGTGCTAAATAATATTGAAGTAGCAAGGAGGATAAAATTGCACAGCTGACAATGCACCGTCCTCAACCTCTCCATGTCTGTCTGTATGGGAGTTCTTGCAAAGATTCGGATGTGGTTACCCTTCCCCAAACACAGCTTTATATATTCAGTCAATCACCAAAAGTGGGAGCAAAACTGCCTCTTTGGGGAAACACATTCAAGGAATGCTGCCAACTAGTAACTACTGGCCCTTGCTTAGTAGGTGATTTTCTGACATGCACTGAGAGGGTGTTTTAATTAGCATTGCAAAAAAAAAAAAAAAAAAGGCAGAAGAATGATTTTCATCTTTTAGAAGGTCAAAAGGTGTTCAGATATAGAAGTGGATATAGCAGAAGAGCCTCAAGAGACAGACAGACATGTCAAAACACTTAGACACCACATCCCCTTAGAGTAGCTATTTTCTTTCTGTTATCCTGTTAAATGGAGGTATTACAGAAATTAATCTCCTGTTCAGACATGCTCAAAAGATAAGCAGCAGTGGAGGTAGGTACTTCTTGTTCAGATACCCTTGCTGATTTTGGCTGAAACAATGGGATACTTGGAATAAAATAGTCGTAAAATTACTTAGCAATATCGTTACGCCATTGCAATCAGCACTAAAAATGGACATCATAACTTTTTATACAGACACGACACACACAAATGTGAAAGGTTAATGCGGTATTTCTTGGCCAAGTGCAGGGCAAGTCACCTGTTCTGTCTTGGCAGTGATAAAAGGAGGAGGTTTTMTAAGTGGGAAAACTTTTCGGTGTTGGATCCTGTGCTTCCCTGCAGCAGAGACCATCAGTCAGGCTGCGCTTTACTGAGAGCTCCCTATTGCACATTCATCGTTTGAACTTTCAAGCTGTTCAAGTTCAAGCTGGGACCTCCAGATCAAACCGATTTTATATGAAAGAGATTGGTTTACCACAGGGAATTTCATGCATCTTACTGAGAGATAATTTGCTCCTGAGTCTACACATAAAGAAATAACCAGTTATACCAGGCACAAAAACACCCTCATGCCAAACTCTGTAGGTGGGTATGTGGCTCCAATTGTGTGGGGAGGATGGACATTGCCTGGCTAAGTGGCTCTTCAACAAAAAGAAAGTAAAAATATATTAAAAAAATAAAAATTCAACCCCTCTCTTCCATTAATAAGGCATAGTAAAGCCCTGTCATATGCGAAACTTAATTTCAAGCTTGTCCTGGGTGTAAGATGGTAATGAAATCCTCCTCAGCGTGTGCTTTTCCTTCAAGCAGCTTTGGGAGCATCTCTACGTTGAATCAGGCACACACTGAGAGCAAAAGCTGACACAGCCTCAGCAGAGCCCAGCTCCCTACCCCTGGAAAAGAATTTGTACACCTACAGGAAAGAATTTTTATCAAATTGAATATGTCACAAGAGGCTTGCAACAGCTCAAATATTCTTAAAAGTGCTGAAAATAGACAATTTCCAAATATATTTCCCCGTCCAAAGCAATACATCTGTTTAAACGGCTGAGCATATAAAAGATTTGCAAATAAAATAATAAGTTTGCAGGTATCTATGACTGATGGTGATTCAGAAGTTAGAAGGCAAGAATAGAAATAAGAATAGCTGAGTTTAGTCCAGTAGGTTTCGTGGTGTCTTCATCTATGAAGCTACTTCCATTTCACTGTTCTTCAGAGGAATATTTTAAATCTGTCCTTCACATCCTAGCTGATCCTTTCCTATCTCCTTTTCCACCCCATACCCCACTTGAGAGACATTTCACTGGTGTCAGTTAGGCCATCTACATCCTCCTCCTCCAAAACCAATCCATGGGGATCAGGATCCTGATCAGGAAAGGAGAGGGCTGAGGCTCTGAGGCTAAATTCAGATCCAGATGAATCAGAAAGACTGCATGGGTATCTGACTCTGAACTGGTAACAACAAATACTGCGTCAAGAAACATCTCAAAATACCATCAAAATAGTAATGTGGGGTAGACTCATATCCCATGCTCTCATTAGCCCATCAATAGATAGATTATTCTCACCTTTGGAGTACACTGTGGGCTTAATACTAATTAGTACATTCATTTTTGCCTAGCAGTCAGAGCCCCGAGAAGGGAAGGTGCCATAGAAGTACAAAATATCAGCGTTACAGTAAATTGCAGAGGGGAAGCACATTGTAATTTCCACGTAAAAACAAATTGGAGCTGTATGCTGCCTGCCTGGTGGGTGGCGAGAGGAGCGCTGATGCAGTGATCTACAGCCTCCTGGAAAATAAAAATCTGCCTGATTAAACTACACGTCTCTTCGCGGCACTGAACAATTAGGCAGGGTGGAGGCTGGTTTGAAACGAGCATAAATCTTTCTTCCCTCTGCTTGAATCTCATGCTGATAGGAATAGGTTTTCTTATCAGCCGCTGATGGTAAGAAATAAGAACTTAGATAAAGTTGTTTATCCCAGTCAGGTATTGGCATGATGTGAAAAAACACCCTGGGAGACCAGATGTTCCGAAGTTGGCCACCACAGGCATTTGCTCAAACACAGGAAAAACCATTTTCCCTCCTTTTTTTTTTTTTTTTCTTTTTTTTTTTTTTTTTTTTTTTTCTGGCCTCGCTTAGCCTGTTGTTATTCCATACAAACACCTTACTTAATCCTTCCAAAGACCATAAACTCCTCGGAGCAGGGAACAGTTTCTTCTCCTGCGCACATTCCTGCCTGGCTTCTGTGGGGCCCGCTGCTTTCCGGGCAGATTCTGAGCACTATCAACACACAAATGATAAATAACACTCGGGACTGAGGAAAGCAGTCAACTGAATATAATGAATAGGATTTAAGCACATGTTTAGTAATCCGCTTGGCCACACCAGGAACCACCGATCTCCTACAGAACAGTGTTGACAGCTCCGCTATTAGGTAACTTGTATCTCATGTATATCAGAAAAATTGCCTGGCGCTTGCAATGCCCGGGATGAGAGTTCAGCAGGAACGGACAATTTAATTCCTTGGTCTGTCCCTGGATGCAGCAAATTACTCTTTCATCCATGGAGAGATCTGCTGAAAAGACCAAAGGACAACATTTGTAGAAGACTTTGTTCTTTGGGGGTTTGTTCTCTCTCTCTCTCTCTCTCTCTTTTTTTTTTTTTCCAATTAATAATACTTCAATACAAACTAGACACAAGGGAAAAACACGATACGAAAACGTTCTTTGATCTTGATGAAATGTTTACCCTGTTAAATAACTAATTAAAAAAAATGAGCAGAGCTGTGCAGTCTAATTCATCTGCAAACTATGAGCAGTCCACAAACACCAGCGGAGATAATCCAATATCCCCCTCAACTTTAATTTTCACCTTTTGCTAGGGAAGGTTCCCCACTTACCTGAAGAGGTTGATCAAGGAGCACTGGGTACAACCCAGCAGGTCGGGTGCRTGGAGAGGGCAGCCCTCTGTACCTGCTACAACAATATTAGCAAGCACTTCATTAACCGGTGCGAAACGAAAGCGTTCAGGCTTAATCCCGTCATCAAGGTTGCCTAATTAAAGGCATGGGCAGATTAATGAAGCTGCTATTTTTACCAGCGCCCCGGCACATGCAGCACTTGGCCTCGCCGCCGCTGGAAGTGATGTCAGCGGTTGCCCGAGCGAACGGGAATTGTGTTTACAATATCCCAGGAGAACTTCACTCGTTTTCAACTCCCACAGAAAACCCTCATATTTAGCCTCGAATAAGAAAAGCAAACCTCAGGCACGGTGCCAAGTGATCTACACAAGCCGAAGCCGCCGCTGTGTTTTCCTTTCGTATTTCAATTTACAATATCCTTTCCTGATTCCTCTCGCTGCCGGAGAAGCCTGATGCTTTGTAGA